AAAAAAACACGGTTCACCTTGTGAGGAGGGAGCACATCTCCTTTGTTAGATTGGAATTCGAGCAAACTTTTCCCCATCAATCCTGTCTATATACAATGCACATTCAGACGTGGACCCTCGAAAGATAAACAACATTCAAAATTAAATATCACCTGAGCATCTACACACTTCAAATTCAGGATAGTGGACCCCTTCCTTTGAGCGCTGTCCAAGCTTCTAACCGCCCCCGAGCTCATGGAAAGAGATATCTCAGCTTCCTAAAACAAACACATCATGTCCATCGATTTGGGCATACAGTTTGGCATATCTCAAGTACTAAGCAGTAAAATTAAACCAGTCCAAACTCTCAACTAAGCAAGCAAAAGGGAACTACCACGGAACATTGCAATCGAAATATATGCAGAAAGAAAATGATAGAGCTGAAACAGAGCGCGCGCGCGCATACACAGACAGTTGCGCATATATGCATATGTAACTGTAAAAGATGAAGAAGCTGATGCGAGTGACTACCTTTTCCATGTCGATGAGAGGGGCCATTGTGGAGACGAACTGTTCGAGGGTAATTTTGTCATTCGATGGCTTTATGGTGATGATCTTTCCTCTCCCTCTCTCCATAGCCACAGCTGACGATTTCTGCGCTTCCACTGCGTGCGTGTGTGTGTGCGCGTTTGTAGGACGACGGGGTTTTTCAATACGAAGTCGCTAGTTTCATGTTTCACTTAAAATGGCGATATAACCATATTAAAAAAATATTCCTCCCTATAGCGTTTGCATTTTGCTATCGAACTTGAACAAGTGTCAAAAAATCGAGCATAGTTCAATAAAGTCAGTGTTCGGCTCAACTTGAATCGTTTGCAAGTCTAAAAATATCTCTCCCTATATGTAATGCAATTTTCGAGAGGCTAATTGTTAATTTCTATTTATCGAAAATTTTATGTGTTAGTTTTATATGCTTCTCTTTATAAATGCCTATTAAAAATTGGACCTTTATCATGGAGTTCTAAGACTATAAAACAATTTGTCATATTAAATTAAGAATATATTTTGAAATTTTTATGATTTTTTTATTAGTTATCAATTTTTTTATATATTTGCATCAAATATAAATATTTATTTATTAAATAAAAAATAATATTTGCAATTTCACACATATTCTTTTATGAAGTCAATTAGAAAGATGAGATATGAGGGGGAATTTATATATAAAAAACAAAAAAAAATAAGTGGACAGAAAAAAAACAAAAAAAAAAAGTGTGGAAAAAAATCAAAAACTCGTATTCAGTGAATACGTTTTCAAAATACGTTTTTCAATTAAATTTGTGAAGAAAACGTATTCACTGAATACGAGTTTTTAATTTTTTTCCACACTTTTTTTTTCTATTTTTTTTCTGTCCAGTTAACTTAAAATTATTTTTTTTTGGTAAAAAATCGAGATATGAGGTAACTATATATAACCATAAAATGATTTTGCCAGCCTTTGATTTTATATATATTTTCAAGGTAGACTATTGAAACCAAAAGTCCTTGAATCTTAATCACTATAGTATATACTACTAAATTACTTACAATATAATGTATAAAATCCAAGTTTTACCTCGTGAAAAAAATTAAACAAAAAAATATACATCAACCCCATGCACATTCCATGTGCCAATAATAAAAATATACAAAATAAATGTTGTAAATGAACTCAAGAATGGAGAAGAAAACCTTCAAACCATGCCTTTGAACTCTTCATCCATATTTGAATTTTTTTGGTAAATACAAAATCTATCAAAATGAAAGATGTTTCTATGTTTCAAATGCAAATTCTACCTGAAAAATTGTACACTTGAGCTTTGCTTTCTATTGATTTTATTACAGGTAATCTTGAGAGAGTATCATATTCTAAGGATTTTGACTGGTATATTGGTATTGCTATCACTATTTTCAGTCGTATTGTGTACAGAGTTCTTTGCAATATCGATTATCGACTTATCAAACATTCTCTTGGTAAACCGAATTCTTTCCTCTTCAGGGGCACTAACTCTCTTCTCCAAGGATCATTATGCAGCTTGTAATGCAACGCCTGGTCGAAATTAATAATAATAATAAATAAATCAAATGCTGATTCAATATTTTGTTTAGAGAAAGAGGGCTTGAGCCTATCGAGTTCATGGGTCCAAATGGCTCGGCTAACTCGACTAGGCCTCGAGCATGGGCTCTCTAAACATCAGGAAAATAAGGCTATGTTTGGTAAAACTAGCTGATAAGCTAGCTTATAACTTATAAGTAATTTTCGAGCTTATAGATTATAGCTTATGACTTGTAGCTGAAAAACTAGCTTATATGATAAAAGTGTTTGATAAAATTAGCTGATAAGCTAGCTGAAATATTCAACGAGCTTAATTGAAAAGCTACCTAAAGAAGGTTATGAGATAAACTTGAGCTTCTTAAAAAAGCTCGTCCTACCAAACGAAGCTTATTTGAAAACAGGAAGCTTATAAGTTAACCAAATAAGCTATAAGCTAGCTTATTTGGTTACAAAACATAGCCTAAGAAGTGCTTTATTTGAATGATAATTTTACCTGCAAGAGTGTGGTGAATACATCATCTCCATTAAGTTGGGAGGATTTTACAGCCCAATCTTCGACTAGGCCGATGCTGGCATTTTGCCTCTGGGCCTCGAGCATAATAGAATCAAGATACAAGAATCTCTGCCATATCTTCTTCACATTCGCCAGTTTCAGTTCTACTTCGGTCTCGTTTATGCTCTGCTCGCAACAAAATTCTTCATGTCACATTCATCGAAAGTCTGAGAAAAAGAAGCATGACAGAAACTTACACGTAAAATATTTATCAGATTCGGGATTTCATCTTCACGAATCCGAACAGCAAAGCTTTCGTAGTTGAGGATATTCTCGTACGGTAGATAAATCCCATCCTGCAATAAAAAAAAAATATATATTAAAAAATTCAAAAAAAAAAAAATCAAATTTGCCGACAAATTTTGTCAAATAGTGTGTACCTGAATAACCACAGGAATACAGCCTTGCAGTATACTATCTTCCATTCGACCACTCCACCCATCTCCTGGCATGACCCCACAAAAAACCGAGCTTGCCAATTGTTCTTGGTAATTATCCGTACGTAATGATGTCACTATTACATCATTTGCATGTTGTTTCCCAAGCTTCCCTTTCTTGTTCGGGCTTGACCCGAACTCCTCAGCCACTTTCTGCCTTATACCCATGCTATATCTGTTTTCATCGTAAATAAAGATTATCTTTCAGAATAATTACATATCACCCATTAACGTCTCGGTTTTAACAAAACTGCACTGAAAATCACTTACGTATCTTCAGGCCTTCCGTTTTCATAAGCTGGTCCTAAATTTCCGTTAAAATAGAAAAATATCCTCCTCTCCTCATGGGTCCTGTTGAAAAAAACAATGACATAAATAATAGTAGTCGAATTACGATAATAAAACGAAAGTTGAGAAAAGTGTGTGCATGTGCACCTTGCCCATAGCCTGGCACCCAGAGACTGTTCATTGGGATGTTTCCAAGCGGGGAGCACGAGATCTTTCTGCGGGTCGAAACACGGATGATTACCTCTTCTATCGGGAGAAATACCGTCCCAATTATCACCCCAATAAGCAGTGGTCGAGTGATTGTGCTTGGAATTCGTATTTCCCCAGTGGACTAACATCATGCTGTTCCATATTTCCTTAGGAGCATAGCAAGCACCTTCATCCCAAGAAAAGAACTGCCTTAAGAAGCATTT